CTCAGCTGCTACACTGGCCCCATATACCCGGCATCTTCCTCTGTCCTTTCTTCCTTCCCCTCTGCCACCCCTCCCTTCAGCTGAAGGATCATTCATGACATGGCGGCGTCTCACACGATCAATCAAAATCCGCTCCCCTCATCCTAACCATTATCTGCCACCCTCCTCCTCTTGTCACCTCTATCACCTGCCATCCTGCTAGGCTTGTCTCACCTCTGATGGCTCCTGCCAGGGTGCGGAGTCCAGGCTGTGGCTGTCAGTGAGGACAGGTGGCCTCCAGCACTGCACTGCTTCCCTCTCATACACATCGGGCACCAATCATCCTACTCACACAGGGTTAACCCTGCAACCAGAGCACATCCCCGCCTATTGATTGGCTCCAGCTGTGTAGAAAAAAAAGGCGGAGCCAGTGCTGGACATGCCCCATTTGGTCACTAGCTGGCTCCCTGTTACAGCTGGAGGATTGTGTGTACTAGTACTGGAGATGTATGGACCGATCATCTGATCAGACACTGCTGACCGCCCGGGGTCCTGGGCTAATGTCATCACATCCCATCCTCGTGGGACACTGCGGTATCCTGCCACGGTGAAAATCACGGTGGTGGTGACCCAGGATTCTCAACCATACAGGTTGAGGGGCTCCAGGCAGTTCTCATAATGCAGAGGAAACTGGTTTATTGGTTTCCTCTTTGGTTTGTAAAGCCTGTTTTGGGACCTGTAGCCTGGAGATTTCTAAGAGATTTGGGAGGGATGAAATCTCCAATCTCGGGCCCATGTTTTGAGAGCAGCCAGTGTGCTGATTGCACAGGTGTGTGCAGGCCTTTTTGTGGAGGCCAGGCCATGATTCTGGGCTCCACCCTGACAGACAGGAGTCAGGAGGGCTCCGCTGTGGCAGACAGGAGGTCTCTGCTTTGGAGTCGGGAGGGCTTCACCAAGGAGAGCTGACCTATCACAACCCCCTGATGAAGCCACGTGATTGGAGGCGTAACGCGTAGGGGAGGGGCAACGTCATCACTCGGAGAGGAGCCGCACAACACGATAGACGGCAGGTGAATGACTCAGAGGCCAGCAGAGGATTTCCAATGGGATATTGCGTTATTTAAACCTGTGTAATGTGAGTTTAATACTTGGATGGTGGGAATAAAAAGTTTTAAAAGGTAAAGCACTATGTCCTCTATTTCTTCCTGCATGCGGAGTAACACAAGGAGAGGATAATTAGGAGGTCTGGGATAACAAAAGGAGTGTGTAATCCCTGAGGGGATAATCAGCCACCAGAGGATACATCCATTACTCCTAAAGGAAGGATCTCCCTATTTCACCAGCAAAAGTATATGTCTAGCAGTTCCAGGGAAAGTGAACCGAAAGCGTGTATAGCCTAATTGCAGGCATCAAAGGAGGTGAGCGCACATCTTCACTATTTGAAGGATTCACAAAAGTCACAAATTGAAGAACAACAAGCACCAAGTCACTATATATAAACAATTGTTTATTCAATGGGACTATTATTTTGATGATGTTTGGATTCATACTAATCACTATTAATTATTTATGAGCATTTGGTTATTTTTATTTATGGGGGATCATCTAAATGCGTTTTAGTTGAGGGTTATTAGTTGGTTTACTATTTTTATTATATTAAATGAGGGTATTATGAATATAAATGAAATTGAGGGTATTAGTAAGTACATCATGTCACTAACAGATGATTTATCAGCACTTGGTAAAAAATTTTTTTAGAGGAGTATTTCATGTGGAATTATTTTGATATTTATTTGGAGGAGATTGATTAGTTGAAACTATTTATTTAAATATTTTTGGTATTTATACAGTTTTATTAGTTATTTGTATCATAATTTGAATTAATTTAATGGTAATAATTTAATTATTATTTATTGAGAAGTATTTAGGAGCGCAACATATATTTGTGGAAGCCAGACTAGCTGTGTGCTAGAGGTTTGCTGTGTGCAAAAACAACCTTTTGGAAGGAGTCTGTAGGAGACAGACATAAAGTGGTGTACCTGAGAGAGCAAGTAGGCTGAATGTTGTTTAATTTGGTTGATGATGGATACACCTGCGTGGAAAGCATTTATGGAACTTATTATTTTAAATAAAATTGGGCAAAAAGGCCCTTAAAAAGAAAAATAAGCGAGTTGCTGTGTGCTTTTGAAAAGAAAAAGCTCTACCACTTTGATGTGAGTTCCCACAATATATATATATATATATATATATATATATATACTAAATGGTAATGTGTATGGACAGGCTGTGAAACAATTGTGCAGAGTAAAGATACCATCATTCCCTATGTATGAGGAGAGAGGAACTCTGCAGAGAAATGAAGAATACATACATGAGGTCCATAGGCCACACAGAGAGTGCCCAGGTGCCCCTAGGTGCCAGTGTGAGCCCTAGGCGGCTGCTTAGTTTGCCTAGTGGAAGCACTGGCCCTGAGTATACTGGGCTGTATAGGACATGTTTCCGACCACTGCACTCTGTACATCGTGCTGTACATGACGGGTTCCTGACCCCTGCACTGTGAACACTGGGCTGTACTGCATATTGCATAATTCTGACCACTTTTACTATGCTCGGCTGTATATGACATGCACCTGACCACTGAACTCTTTACACTGAGCTGTATAGGACCTAATTCTGACCACAGCACTCAGTACGCTGGGCTTTAAATGACATGTTCCTGACCACTGCAGTCTGAATGCTGGGTGTGCATCCTTACCGACTCCACCACGCTGTAAGCCCACTGGGTTCTCGGACTATGCCAGGCAGTGGGCGGGGTCACTCGCCCTGCACATGAGGTACCTTTTTGTATGTGCATGCGCTCACCAATGCCCAAGACTGGACGGAGGCCGAGTTCTGGTGAAATCAACCTTAAAGTAAAACTATAGGCAAAACTTTTTTTTTATCTTTTTTAGATAGAGGTTATAATCCCTGTCAGACTCTTGTTCGCCATATGTGTTTATTTTGGAGATTTCCCTCAACTTCCTGTCCCATAGCTAAACAGGAAGTGAGAGGAAATTCCTTGGCAACCCCAGGTTACCAGATCTAGTGTCCCTATTGTAAGATTTTCCCTCTATTACTTTTCAAGGGACAACCCAAAATTTGGACTTTTCTTTACAATCACTTTCAGTGATAATGGTAAACAGGACAAATAATAGAGAGGGTGAATTGCCTTAATGGGGGTACAGATAGCAATAAAAACTGACAGGGGTTCTAATCCCTCTCCACTCTATCCAAAACTGAAAAAGGAAAAGTTTTGTCTTTAGTTATACTTTAAGACGGCCCTTGAATTAGAGATGAGCTGTGCACCGTGTGTACTGTAGCAATTAACTGTGCAGAATTCCTCTGTGAAGAGCTGTCACTACACACCATGTCACTACACACCTCACTTTAATTTTTGCATTTAGGAGAGACACCTCTGAGCTATACCCTCTCCACCTGTCCAGTGTACCTCTGCCACCTCACTCCCAGTGACAGATTGGTGTCCCTCCGAACACCTAGCATGCACCTCCTGCTTGCTCACACTTAACTCCTCACTTTCCTGTACCGTGTAACTAGGCTGGGGATCCCGTAACATGGGTTCGATACCAGTTGCTATGGGAAACTGACCGCTAGAACACAGACCCCCTCGCTACCAGAGGATACCTCAGCTTACCAAGGTACAACTCTTCAGGACAGGCTGCTGAAACACTTTACACCTTGGTTATCCATGGCAGCTGCTCTCTCTCCCACTCTTGATGCCGAGCTAACCCCTTTGTGACTAATTGGCTTCATACCCCATATGTGCTTCTCCTAATTGTCATTAACCTTCATGCACTCCTTTGGGTTTAACTTCAGACCAGGCTCAGGTAACAGTTTACCAAATGTTACTCAAAGTCTTCTCAAAGTACAAAACACAGTTCAGAGCTTCCCATCTCTGACTAGCTATTCTAGATTGTGGCTGCCCAGACATACCTTACAAAGTTGAGAGTCTATTACTTAGTACAAGTCCATGATGTGGCAGTTCTCTGTTAAGTCGGTGTCTTCTGGAGGACCGCAGGACAAGCTGTCTCCCCTCCGAAGCACGGTGTCACAGCATCTCTGGTCACCAATGGGTGAGGCCAGCAGCGGCCCCTCTTATATACACCTCACAGGGCAGTTAGGCTGGATCCAAAAAAAACTGCAAACAGCACTAGAATAGTTTAAACCCTTCCCTGCCTGGCCAGCCACCATCTAACGTGCCTAGGCAACCTGTCTACATACTCCGGACCACTGTACTCCCAATGCTGGGCTGTATGTGATATACTCCTGACCACTGCACTATTTATGCTATATTGCAAAAAAGCTGCTAGTTGCTTAGTAATCATTATGTTATTAAAGTTCTTCTCGAAGGTAGGTTGTGTGCAGGAAAGCATATGTAATAGAGAAGTTTCTTTTTTTTCACACATTATTGTGCATGGGTTTGTACGTGTCTGTTAGACTCTCACTTGTGGCACAGTAATTAAAGCAAAGTTTCCCCAAAAGGGGAAGTTCTGCTCTTTCTCCTTCTCTAATTATTTTAGTAAATAAAAACTGCTAAATACCTTTTCTCATCAGCAGTTAGAGCAGTCTTGTGACTTATATCAGTGTCCAGCAGAGCACATGTTAAAGCTTGTAGGAGGAGTTTTCATTCTGCTGTTGGAGGATGCAGGACCCATAACCTCTGTCTGGACAGTGCTGATTGGCCCTGTGCTGATCACATGCACTCTCCCAAGAAAAAAAAAACCTCTCTAGCAGGGGCGGATTGACAACTCATGGGACCCCCGGGGATCATGGGGCCCCTGTGTCCTTGCCCAAAATCAAAAAAGCCTATGAAAAAGGTACCAGGGGCATCTCATGGGGCCCCCTACTGACCCCAGGCCCTTGGGCAGTGCCCGAGTTTCCAAATGGTCAGTTTGCTCCTGCTCTCTAGTAATACACACCAAACTGAGTATGTGCAGATTGTCTCCACACATATGTCTTTTCAGGAGATAAGAGGGGAACACTGGAAGGGGAGAATCAGAGAAGCAAGGATCAAACAGCATTTTTACACAGTGCATAGTATTAACCCCTTAGGCTCCACAGTGAGTATAACAAGCGTGCTTTGCTACATATACAGACTGATTTTACTTTTTTGGGTTTAGTAATACTTTCAGAAATGAAATCATGTACTGTACTAGGAATGGTGTAAGTAAATTGTTTTTTCTTTTGTTTTCACTGCACACTAGCATTGCTAGCTGCTTCATGTTGCCCTTTTACATACAATATTCTATCTACGCATACCCTTTTAAGAAATCAAAAAAAAAAAAGGATATAGAGGCACCCATGAGGTTTGCAACAGAGATAAGTCAAAGCAAAAACATTTTATTGTCAAGCTCTTTAGAAAATTATCACTTATTTTTTTTACATCATTCAGTTCCTGATGGGACATGTTCAGTAGTAGTCTCATCTTCCTAGGTGCTCTGTAACACTAGCTGTGATGTCCTTCTTGGCGCATGACTGCTGGACACTGCAAGGAGATGGCTGCTTTGATAGCCAGCATTTGTCTCCATCTCCCAGCATGTGCCTGAAGCAAGCACTGCAAGAATAATGCAGACAGGGGTATTATATTTTAGATCACGGTTTTGCAAGAATTAATAGTTATATATCTAACATCAGGTTTATTTGTTATTTGTCAAGTTATTTCCATATACATTATGCATTATGTTAGTACTGTAATGTATATTGCAAAATGCTTGTTTTATTATGTAAAATATATCAATTATTAATTAAATAGCATTATAATAAAAAGTATAGAAGTGTAACCAGACAGATTATGAAGAGGTGGACTTAAAGGAACCATAAAGGCCCCCACTAAGCCACTACAGGGAATGTATATGTCATCACTTCCATTAAAAATCCAAAAAAGTAATCGCTTTGCAAGATACCAGCATTCCTGGCCATGGCCATCTTGAGTAAGGGCAGATGATTCAGGTAACATTTACATTCTGGAATCCATCTGCCCTTAGCTCAGGTATGTAGGCAGGAGGATGTAGTTTTCTGTGAAAGCCCTCCTGAAGACTCCTGGGATGTGTATGAAATCATTTACTTAGGCAAGAAACCAGGAAGTAACTGAAGAAATGTAAAAAAAAGTTTAAAACAAGTAAAATATATTTTTCCTATCTATTTTCTAATGCTAGCAGCATAAGGATTAAAAATAGTCAATGTTGACACAGAGTGAAGTTCCGCTTTAACTTCTGTCACTCAATGAAAGACAAAAAAAGTTTTAGCTGCATTTCTGCTTTAACAGAAACAATGCACTGGCTAGATCTCAGCAAATGTTTGGCATAAGTAATTATTTGACTTGTCTGACCTACAGGCAGCTTCTACATTGTCCAGTGAAAAACTGGTATATGAAATACCTGGTGCTGTACAACAAGGAGTGTGCATAAAATATCTGATTAATTGCAATGTGAAGGATTTGTCTGAAACCAGTGCTGTCAAATGTACAAGGGCATTAAAAATGTCAAATTTACATATTTAAGCTTTTGCTTCTGATATTTTTTTTTTTTATATTAAATATGAACAACTGTAGGGGTTTTACATTGTATTTTGCAACTTTACCAAAAAGATTATTGCATAAATAGAACATGGCCCTACTAGCCTACAGCTCCCCTTTTATTTTTATGAAAAATATTATACTGCATCAGGTACCCTCTTTCGATTCTCCATGGTAGTATATAGGTCTGTGATAGCTATAGCTTAGATTACCAGACCAACTTTGACTGTCGATACTATGTCAAAGATGAGATACATTTTTCCAAGTGGGATCTCCAACAACAATAAACACCCAAAAATTATCCCAAATAACAACTCTGCGCTAATATAAAAACAATAACTCTACAATAAAAATGCTGTTTCTACAGTCATTTATTAGGACAGCAAATGAGACAGAGGCTCCTCTTACTGGACAAGAAACATGTCACCAGGTCAGATGTTAAAATGAGGTCCCTCTGACACTCTCCTCAATCTTTTGTGTTTCTTCCTTTCTATTGTCTGTAACCTAGATGGAGTAGCCTCTGTCTCTTGCTGTGCCCTCCTTCGACTTGCTGGGTGGTCACTTGGAATCCCTTGGTGTTGGGCTTGTTGCAGTGGGGCACTGTTGGTATCTCTTTCCTTGTAATTTTTCTTCTGCAGATTGTAAGGGTTCATGTCTAAATTCCCTCTCTCTTCATTTTGGCTCATTTTTGTGGCCAAAGTCCCAAAGAGGTGAGATAGACTGTCCCCAGAAACAAATGTGCTGTGTGCAGCTGAAATTTGGGAAGCATCTGGGATAAAACTCTCTGTCAGTCCTGTATTAGTGATCAGGTGAATAGGCCAGTGCTTGTAGAGATCTCTACTCATCCTTTAAGGAGCTTCCACCTTCTAAATTTTCAGGTCTCTCATGGCAGACAATTGACCTCCTAACCAATATTTTTCTGTGCCACATTCCCCAGCTACCCTGCTATAGGGAAAAATTTGTGAAAGGTGGGGATGTTAGTCATCCCACTGCTTGACAGCCAGATTCTTCTATCGAAGAGGATCATCAAAGAGTAGTCGAGCAGTGAAAACCATGCTCTTTTTTTCTCTACTGAAACTCTCTTTCCCCTTTGATGATTATCTAATGCAAATCTGGAGCAAGTACCCCATCTAGATTATTCCCTTTGTAATGTCTCTAAAAATGCAAACCTCACTTTTGAGGATATGGCCATTTTAAAAGATCCTAGGGATAAGAAGACCAATAAGCAGGCTCTGAATTCTACTATTTCCAATTTGAAAGCCACCTTAGCAATTATTAGCCAGAAATTTATCATTCTGGCTTATGCAGTTGAAGTTGCATTTGTTAGAAAGGATGCCTAGGAGACAATTGTTAGACTCTTTCCATATGTTTTTTAAGACTGTTGCTTTTACTGCTGATATTACTACCAAGTCGGTCAAGATGTCAGCTTGATCTCCAGTATTTCTTAATTCCTCCCAACTGCCCTTATGGCTTAAAACATGGTCAGGGGATTCGGAATGCAAGTTACATCTTTGCATCAAGCATTTTTGACACATATCTGGCAGAGGTCGAATTGATGAGAGGGCTCTCTCTTAAACCTCCTGACCTGTTTGTCTCCCGAGATTTATGACAAGGTAGGAAAGGACAGGAACTGGGGCCTGTAATAAGAAGACCCAGAAGATCTAGATCTCTCAAAGAAGTGGAAGCTGTAGAACAGGAACTTGTGCCAGACATTGTCACAGGCCTTGCAGAAGCAGTAGGCAGGAACATGGTCAGACAGGCAGAAGTTGGCAATGGTCAGGCAGCAGAGACACAGGTTTGTAGGAGGAGAGCACAAACAGGAGCTAGGCTGAGGCCAGTCTCACATGGCAGAAGAAGAGCTAAAGGGATAAGCAAAGTGCAGAGTCAAGAAGTAAGCCTGGGTCAGGTACTGGAAGTCCGGTGGAGTCAGAAGGCAAAACCAGATATAGCACAGATACAAGCAGGGTCTGCTCACGGATCACAAGAGTTGATCACCAGTCAGCAATGATCTTGAGTCCTCTAGTGCTTTAAATAGGGCACTAGGCACCAAAGTCTAAAAAAACATGCTTGTTCACACTCATGTGCACACTAATACTCATGTGCACGTGTAGATGCTCTCACGGCATTGATTTTGTGCAGTTCTGTGGACTTTGCACATGCACAGTTTTTTTACCAGGGCCAAACATTTGGTTTTCCAGGCACTTTTACTTGCCCTTTGGTCTGGTATTGTAGGCCACTGTTAAGCATACAGTGGAAGAAAAAGGCCTTTCCGGTTAGGGGAAGAAGGTTCAGAATAACAAAAATGTTAGTACTTTGTTTACTATTATTGGGACTTTACAGATGCTAAATCAAACATTTAGTAACAACACATTTTTCTGGCTTTTTTGTATTTATTATAATTGTTAAAAAATATTGTTCTTCACCCAGTACCCTGATTACTCACATCCTTCTATATTTAGAAGACTTTTTGTAATTTTTCATGTTGTTCAGTGGTGTCCGGGCAAATTTTCAGTGTATTTCGTGGGTCCCTAAATCCACTTTACTAGGAACTGTGTTGACATCAGGTGACAAGGAGTAGTTGCCATCTTCTCTGTACTCTGATACATATATCCATTGGGGATAACTGAGGTGTACTGTACCTAGAGTGACAGGAGCATAGGGATACCTTTGAGGCTTGCTGCAACACTAGTCGCATAACCTATAAGGCTAATCAGCCACATAAGACTACTAAATGATGAGCTTTTGGTTTCCTTTGTTACTTTGGATTGTTGACATCAAGATCCTCTTGGTGGTTTGATCCCGTTTCCTCTCCTCTCACTTGATCAATGGTTCAGCTCAGTTGAAATTCTATCCTTGTTGGAACCTTTAGGAGATGAAGTGGGCTCAGTGACCCATGAAACGAATAAAAAATATGACCAGAACCCATCATGTGACTAGCATGCAAGATATCAGTGGACAACAATATGCTTAAATTACACTGATAGGTGTGCGTAACCAGGGTATGTGTGAAGGACTGTGTATTTCAATTGGCATATACAGTATTAAGAATGAATGTTATGTTCTGGAAAGGAAAAATGCACCGTATGTGTTTAAAACAACAATTTTATTTCAATAATATTAAATGCGAAAAAGCTTTTTAATGCTAGAATAATGTGTTTGTTCTGAATGTTTGATTTCATACCTATAAAGTCCCAATACTAGCAAGCAACATAAAGTGATTTATTAGTGGGGATGTAGTGTGCTATTTTAGAAGGTGAGCTGCAGATTTCTAGGTTTTTATGACAAAAATATTAGGCCTAAGAAGCACTGATCTGGTAAGAAAGATAATTAGATAGGTGGTATCCTCTTTAACCAACCCTCGCAATAATGGGTTGACCCATGTGGGAAGAAGATTAGGTGTTGTTCCTCCCAAGTGGAAACAAATAACCTCCCAACTCTTCATTTTGGGGCTGATAGAACATGTGTAC